CTAGGATTAAGGGTATAAGGTTCAGTGTCTAGGGTTAAGCTTCTATGGTTAAGGGTCTAGAAGCTAGGCTTAAAGGCCTAGGGTTCAGGGTGTAGAGTTAAGAGTCTAAAATAAAGTGTCTGCAGTTAAGGGCCTAGGATAAGGGTGAAAGGTTAAGGATATAGTGTTAAGGGTCCAAGGTTAGGAGTCTAAGATTAATGGTCTAGGTTTAAACATCTTTGGTTATGGGTCTAGCGTTAATCATCTTGGGTTAAGGGTCTAGGGTTAAGGATGTGGATTTGAGGGTCTAGTGTTAATTGTCTATAGTTAAGAGTCTTATATTAGAGGGTTTAGGGTTAAGGATGTGGATTTGAGGGTCTAGTGTTAATTGTCTATAGTTAAGGGTCTTATATTAGAGGGTTTAGGGTTAAGGGACTAGGGTCAAACGTCTAGGCTTTAGAGTCTAGGTTTAAGCATCTAGGGTTAATGATCTAGAGTTAAGGATCTAGGGTTAAGTGTCTGGGGTTAAGGGTCCTGGTTTAAGAGTCTAGAGTTAAGCATCTATGGTAAAGGGTCTAGGGTTAAGGGCCTAGGGTAAAGCTTCACTGGTTAAGAGTCAAGGATTAGGAGTTTTGGGTAAAGCAACTGAGGTAAAGGGACTAGAGTTAAGCATCTAGGATTAAGCATCCAGGTTTAAAGAGTCTAGGATTATGGGTCTGGCCTCTGAGGTTCATGATCTAGGTTTAAGTGCGTAGCATTAACAGCCTAGGGACTAGGGATAAGGGCCAAGTGATAAGTGTCTAGAGTTAAGCATCTGGTGTTCAGGGTCTAGAGTTAAGGGTTAAGCTTCTAGGGTTTAGCGTCCAGGGTTAAGCATCTTGGGTTAAGGTAAACGGTCTATGTTTAAGAGTCTGGAATTAAGCATCTAGGGTAAAGGGTCTAAGTTTAAGGATCTAGAGTACAGCATCAATGGTTTAGTGTTAAATGTCTAGGCTTAAGGGTCTAGTGTTAAGCGCCTAGGGTTTAGGGTCTAGGGTACAGCATCTAAGGTTAAAGGTTGAGGGTTAAGCATCTAGTGTTAAACATCTAGGGATAAGGGTCTACAGTAAGGGGTCTAGGATTAAGCATCTAGAGTTAGGTGTCTTGAGTTAAGGGTCTAGGGTTTAGTGTTAAGGGTCATGGGATAAGGGTTAAGAGTCTAGGTGTGGCATCAGGTGTTAAAAATCTAGGTTTCAGGGTCTAAGGTTGTCTAGCATTATGCTTCTGGGTGTAAGAGTCTTATGTTTAAGCATCTAGCTTTAATGGTCTAGGATTAGGTTCTATGATTCTATGGGTAATGGGTGCAATTGGAGCATAGGAGGTTCAAGGTGAATATTCGAAAAAAAATTTTTACTGTAAGAGTGACAGAGCCCTGGGACAGGCTGCCCAGGGAGGGTGTGGAGTCTCCTTCAGTGGAGACATTCAAAACCCACCTGGATGCGTTCCTGTGTGATGTACTCTAGGTGACCCTGCTCTGGCAGGGGGGTTGGACTAGATGATCTTTCGAGGTCCCTTCCAGCCCCTAAGATTCTATGATTAAGGCTCTGGAGTTAATTTTCTAGGGTGAGGGGTCTAGAGTGTAGGATTAAGGGTCTAGGGTCCAGGGTTAAGCGTCTTGGGTTTAGGGCCTAGGGTAAATGGTCTATGTTTAAGAGTCTGGAATTAAGCATCTAGGGTGAAGGGTCTTTGGTCTAGGATTTAGGGATACCTAACACTAGATGCTTAAACCCTTAATGCTCAATGCTGAATCCTAGACCCTTAACGCTGAACCCTTAACCCTATAGCCTAAACCCTAGACTTTTAAATGCTAGGCCCTTAGCCCTAGACGCTTTAGACCATCCATGGTCATGCTAGTCGACATGCTAGTCGTTTTAACCTAGAAGCTGTAGACTCTTACACCCGCAACACCAGACACTTTATCCTAGACCCTAAACCCTAGACCCTTAACCCTTTTTGCTTAATTCCAGACTCTTAAACCTAGACCATTAACTCTTAAACACAGACCCTAAGCCATAGATCTTTACTCTAGACTCTTAACCGTTATCCCTAAACCCATAACCCTAGACCTTAAGCCTTGGACCCTAATACTAAACCCTAGACAATAGATCCTTTACTATAGACACTTAACTCCAGACCCTTAACGCTAGATCCCTAACCCCAAACACTTAACCCTAGACACGTAACCATAGGGGCTTAACCCTAGATGTTTAAATCTTGACACTTATCCCTAGACCTTTAATCCATGACCCTTAAGCCATGACCCTTAACCCGAGATGCTTATCCCTAGACCCTATACCCTTAAACCTAAACTCTTAACTCCAGACTCTTAAATCTTTCCCCTTAACCCTACTCCTAGACCTTTAACCCTTAAACCTAGACCCTTAAACCCTAGACCCTTAACCCTTAAACTGAGACCCTTAAACTTCTACATTGAACACTAGATCTTTAATCCTAGATGCTTAACCCTAGACCCTTAACCTTAGACCCTTGACCCTAAACCATCTAACCCTGGACCCTTAAGTATAGAAACTTTACACTAGACACTTTACACCCTTATCCTAAGCTCTGGACATTGACACTATATGCTTAACCCTAGAACCTTCACCCTTAAACCTAGACCCTTAATCCTTGGACTTTAACCCTAGACTATAGACACTAAACCCTAGACTCTTAACCCTTAAACTGAGACTGTTAACATTTTACACTTAACATTTGATCTTTAACCCTAAATGCTTAGCCCTAGACTCTCAATCCTTGGCCCTTGACCCTAATCTCTAAAACCTCTAAGCATGGACCCTAAACTTCAACCCTTAAACCTAGACCCTAAGCCCTTGCCCCTTAACCCTAGACCCTTAACCCTAGTCCCTAGATCCTTAACCCTTAAATCAAGACCCTGTTGCCACAGATGCTACTGAGGTAGAAGAATCGTATTCTGCAACTAGATGGACCACAAAACTAGCCAGGGATATTCCATTCCATATATCTATATAAGCTCAGAAGAAGGTCAGAGATCACAGAAGACAACTTTCTTTCTGCTTCTTCTTCCCCTTCTCTTCCATCCATGGCTGGCATCCAGGGAAGACTCCATCTGTCCATCCCTGTTGATCCTCAGGCCCATGCATCCCTGCCCCTCATCACTCTCCCCTCAGCTCCTGTCTGCTCTGCCCCCTCTCCGGCAGCTCTGGGACATTTTGGGGCTGCTCACAGCTCAGGAGATGCCGGGGATATTCCTGGGGTCAGGGGGAGGCAAAAAGCTTTTGCACATTCCTGAACACATTTGTATATATTTGTACTGTATTTTCTTTTATCATTAGTGTTCAACTAAAGGTGTCTAGTTTTCAATCCAGAAGAGTCCCTCTCCCTCCATAATTTTGCCTCTCCTTCGCTCCCTGGGAGAGGGGGGAGGGGATCGAGAGCATTGCTGTCTGTGGTTTAATTGCCAATTCTGAGTCAAACTATAACAGGTCATTAGATTTATTACCTACAAATTCAGTGTCTTAATATAAATATTCTGTTTGTACCCCATAAAAAGGTCGTTCTTATGCTCTGATTCTTCAGATAATATTCTGATACAATCTCAGCAGTATTCCGATTAGGGTAATTAAATCTGTAGAAATAGAATCTACCTAAATCAGTGCTACAAATTGAATAGGTATTTTGGACAATCATTAGCTTAGTTAACACTCCTCAAACACACCAACTACAGAATAGCAAAGACATCTGCTTTACGAAGTCAAATGTTGCCTACTTTTTTTCAAAACATTTGGAATTTAGAAGTCTCCAAGTATCTAATGAAGTTAAAGTACTGTGAAATGTTAGGACTGGGGGAAGCTCCTGTAAACAAGTACAGAAGTAGTCTTCATTTAAATTACAAAACACTCACCTCCATAAAAAGCTTTAAAACTGACCCAGTCAAAAACAGTGCCCTGCAAAATCTAGCAGTATAAAGAATCTCTGTAAGCTAAAGCAGGTCATATATTGTGATTACACCACAATAAAATGTACTTAGTGTCAGGAACAAGGAGGAAATTTTGGGAGATGACAATAACACCTTCAGGCCATTTGATCTGAACCACTGCACTTCTTTGGGCAGCCTAGAGTAAAGCAGTTTTGTTTGCTGCTCAGAAAACACTTAAAAGAGAGGAATGCTGTATTTTCTGCATTTTGTTGCTAAACAGACTCTCCCATCTTGGGACAGGCTTCCCAGAGAGGTTGTGGAGCCTCCTTTACTGTAGACTTCGAAAACCTGCCTGGATGCTTTTCTGTGTGGCCTGCTCTAGGTGGTCCTGCTCTGACAGGGGGGTTAGACTCTATGATCTCCAGAGGTCCCTTCCAATCCCTACATTCTATGTTCTATGAGTCTATGTTCCATGAGTCTATGTTCCATGAGTCTATGTTCCATGAGTCTATGTTGCTGGGTTTACTTGGTTTAAAGAGCTATAGCACCTGCTGTTTTCAGCAGGTGGAAGAAAACTTCAGTGCCACATTTTTTTAATGGGCTTCATTGATACTTCAAACCCAGATGCTGCAATTAAAAACAAGCTTGCCTTTGTGTAAAGAAAGCATCAGAGGACGGTAATGATCCTGTAAAAGGCTCGTATTCCACAGGTTGCCTCTGCAGAACAGGCAACCTCCCACTACAGAATCTGGTCTGAAAATTTATCCCAACACTAACACTGGAAGGAAGGAGGCTTCTACATCTCACACACTTTGGGTTTCATATCAGGCATGTGAACAGGTGCCATTCTGAGCCAAGTGAACGCAAGGTTAGAAATTTTAATCTAGGTCTAATAATGAAGTATCAGCAACAAAGTGGAGGCAGGGACTGAGCAAGCCATCTGTGCTGAGACTTGTTTGTGGTTTCTAAATGCCCAAGACAGCAGCAGTAACTATTCCATAGTGTCCGTTTTCCTGGTGAGTTGTGTTGCTGATAGGAGGCTTTTCTGCGTCTTGAACTAAGAAGGCATTGAGGTACCCTGTGCCTAATTCCCTGAGTCCTTCAGGTCCATGCTAGAGCCAAATATTGCTACCAGCTGCTCCTCGTAATGTGTTATATCCCTCTTCATGATGTCCATGCAGGTCCAAAGCAACCTCTCAAATGTTTGCACATCCATGACTGCAAAGGAACAGAAGTGAAAAACAAGATTCTTTTTCAAAAAGGACACCACGCACCAATCTGTTTTTTTGACCCAGAACACAGACCTCTGGTCCAACCCATTTGGGTTTGAGGCTTCAATAGAAATCACAGAAACAGAATTCAGATTTCTGATTTCCCTCTGTACTGTTACTTGCAGAAACAAAGATGAGTGAAATACAGACCAGACCTCAAGGATAAACACAGAAGCCAAATACACACCCCACTGCCATTGGAAGAACACCTGAAAGCTGTGTGTGGCAAACAAACTGTAGACAAGAAGCTGATGCTACTTACCCCTTCAAAGGATACGGGGGACACAAGCAGAAGAAAACAGAACCTGCTGGAAGGAGGCAGCCGTGATTCTCCAGCATAGAGATCTGCTTCAGCCCATGATCCCAGCTTTTCATGTCCAAATGCCAGTTACCAAAAGGCTATTAGGTTTTGAATAGCTGCTCGCTCGGTGATGGTCCACAAAACAAGCAAAAACAGAAAAGAGTAGCGAGAAACACAAAACATCTGCTTACCTAAACATTTGACCTCCCCAACAGCATAAGCAGAGGCTGCTCTGGGTTTGTTGGTAACAAGTGCAAGCTCTCCAAAATACTGCCCTCTGCCATAACGGGTAATCTCCACTTCTTGGTTAGCTTTGCCTGTCATAGTCTGTTGAACAGTACATTTTCATTATTTGCATACAGATCTGACTTTGTACAAGCCTGCAGTTAATTCCAGTTGTTTTATAGATGTGCAACAGCTTATTAATTCAGGACTTCTAAACTAGCAAGTCTCACGTCATGCTTTGTACTGGCAGAACACTTTGACAGCATATTCAATTAGAACTTTGATAAGAAAGGTGTATGCCAGCCCAAAAGCTCTGAGATTTGCAAATATTTACTGTTCCAGCTTTGGGAACTGTTATTTCATTAGCTTAACACAGGTTTTATCATGCACAACATGTCCCCTAAGGCTGCTTCAGACTGCACAGAGATCTGCTCAAATGTCTAGTGTCTAGTATGTCACTAGAAATAACAGACCCCAGGTTTTGTAAATTGTAGTTTTCTATAATCCTAGAATAAAAGTCTAATTTCCACCCTTAAGGTCAGGGGCAGTATATCAAGTTGTTTGCAGAGGAGCAGACATAAAAAAAGATTTTGCAATCAAAGACTTGTGGCCACTTCAGAACAGGTCGGTTTTAAGTCCTCATACATCACATGAGTGACAGCGCTAAACATCATAAAATAGTATCTTTAAAGAAGTCAGGATAGGCTTTTTCACACCACTTGATCAAATCAGGAATTGACCTAAAGCCTAATGACCCAATCTGAACTGACCTTGCTTTTCATCAAGATTCTTACTTCTCCAGACTCTACAATATAAAAACAGTCAGCTCTGTTGCCCTGTAAAGAGGAAAAGGCAAAACAAATTATTATTTACTTTACTGTAAAAGTATGTGTAAATGGTATTAAAGCTTTCACTTGTGCAAAAATCTGCTAGAGTTAACAATTCTTAACATTAAATGGTGACTGGTTAAACAGAGACACATTGGTACACACCATCCAGTAACAGGACAGATGGAAAGGAAAAATGAAAGGAGATTGATGATACAGATCAAGTTCTAGAAAGGAATCACAAGGTGCTCTTGAGTAACTGAGTGTGAAATTTAAAAAAATGGTTTAGTCAAATTTCGCTGTTTATATGAAAAAGTCATTGTAGGGGTGACTGTCCTGGTTTGAGCCAGGATGAAGCCAATTTTTCTTTTTACTGATTTTTTTTTTCCTTCAGTAAGCTTTCTTGTAACTAGCAACAGTGTGTTCTGCTAGGCTGATAAAACAGTGGGATGTTTTTCTAACTACTGAGGCTTCAAGGTCTCCGCTTCACTCTGCCGGCTCAGACACTGTGTGGAGATCTGTGACCCCCCGTAGGAGGCTGAGTTAGACAGACAGCAAAATTGGCCAAAGATATTCCATTCCATATATCTACGTAAGCTCAGAGGAAGGTCAGAGATCACAGAAGACAACTTCCTTCCTTCTTCTTCTTTTTCCCTTCTCTTCCGTCCATGGCCGGCGTCCAGGGAGGACTCTGTTCATCCATCACCGTCGATCCTCAGGCTTGATCTCTCCTGACCCCCATAACTCTCTGCTTTCTCCAGCAGCAGCTCCGGGATTCCTCGGGACTCTTCCCAGTTCAGGGAAGTGCTGTGGGAGTTGCTGGGGTGGGGGGAGGCGAGAGGCTTTTGCCCATACCTGAATATATATCTGTATATAATTGTATATATTTTCTTGTATGATTCATTAGTGTTTTGATTAAAGCTGTTTAGTTTAGTTTTCAATCCAGCCAAGTCTCTCTCTTTTTCTCTCTCTCCTTCCCTACCTGGGTTGGGGGGAGGGGGGATCGAGAGCACTGTTGTCGGACCTAAGTCAAACGATGACAGTGACCAACCACTGGAACAGGTTGCCCAGAGAGGTTCTAAAGTCCTTTGGGGTACTGAAAAGCTATCTGGAAAAGACAGTCTGGGCAACTGGCTCTATATGGCCCTGCTTGAGGAGGAGGGTTGGACAAGATGGTCTCCAGAAATCCCTTCCAACCTCAATCGTTGTGTGAGAGTTTCTAGAACCTTTCTCACATCTATCTAAACCACATCAGGTTGCACATCTGTTGACCTTCAACAGACTGTATGTTACAATCTGCCCTGGAGAGCTTTGCCAGGATTTTTTTTTTTTTAATTTTAGCTGTGACTTTCCCTCTCCATCCCAACCCCTGTGGGCTTGATACAGAATTGGTATTCAAGAGTGGAGGGCCAACACATGCCTCCTGCTATGAATCAGAATTAAAGGGACTAAAGGCTTCACAGCGACAGAGCTGGATAAGGAACTGGTAAGTGAATGGGAGCAGCTCAGCAAAAAAACCCTTAAGAAACAATGTGAGGAGGGAGATAAATCAGACATTAAGTCAAGTGGGCAAGGAGACTAGGAATGTGATGGGAAGGATGGAAAAAGATGATTATTACTTGAGTCTGAAACAGGGGCTGGGAAAAGATGATGCAAGATTTAAACATGAAGATGCAGAAAAAAACCAGGCCCTTAGCAAAGCTTCCTGGGGATGGTTGTAAAACACCCAGCACAAAGCTTTTCATTCACTTCTGTCATCCACCACAACATGAACTGACACACTGAGCACACTTCTGAAAGAAGTGTGAAAGAGTACTTCTGTCTTTTTCTTTTTTTTTTAAAGAATGGTAAGAGTGTGGACATCTTCATACCGCCAGCAGGCACTAAAAAATGTCAGGTGCTTTAAAGTATTCTGTCTTAACTGAGGGGTCAAAGTCCAGAAAGATAATTAAAATCTAGAATTATCCATCAGAGAAAAGGGGTTCATAGTATCGATGCCATGTAACATGTTACGTTTTCCAAACATGAAACATCACTGTCTTTAGCTGTCAAATGCAAACATCTTGTCCTTAATTCAGTTATTGCAAAAGATTAAGACCAACTGCATAACTGGATCACTGACTGCTTTCCAAAAAGTTATGTATGACACAGCCAAAAAAAAAATTCCACAGCTTTAGCTTGAGTTTGTCCAGCTTCATGTTGCACCACTCTGGCCTTGATAAAATACCAAAGATTGTCAATTGACATGAGACTACTCCACGACTGAAATGCTCTTCTTAAGAGCATCTGGAAAAACAGTGGTTTTAATTAATCCTACCAGTCTCTGAATAGTTAACTAAGTTTGATCTAAGTAGCAAAATATTCCAAATGGCTTAATGTAGTTTCACCCAAACCATAATCCTGTTTAATTGTTTGGTTTTGTTGTTCAGTCAGATGTAGAAATTAGAGATGCCTTTACTAGATGATTGCAGAGCCCTGGTCATAGGTGCCTATGAAAAGTCGAACTGGGGACTTCCATGGAAAATTACAAACACAGACATTTACTTTCAGCTTCTTAAGGCATACAGCTCTTGTAACTCTGCAAAAACCATTTATCAAACAGATGAGAAAAGAAAAATGTGGAAACTAAAGTAATATAATACATGTGTAGCAAAAGACATATTGGTTGTTCCCCAAACATTCAAGAAGTGGCTAAATACATTTCAAGTATTAAAAGAAAAATGATGCCATGTAGGTCCAAGTAATAGGATTCTATAAGTCAGTTCCAAACAGGAAAAAAAGAAGCCAAGAAAGGAGAATGATAAAGAGAAATTTTGATTTCAAGTACCTGAGAAAGTATGCATTCCCCATCTTGATACACTTTCTCCCCTATGACGTCCACTATCTTCATCCTCTCTGATGCCTGGAATTAAGACAAAAATGAAACATAAGTATCTATTGTAACATACCTTGGGTAAACTTTGTAACCCTGAAATGAAGAAGCATTCACTAGACACACAAACATGCAGCATCTGGGTACTGAAAAACACAGCCCCTACAATGACACTGTCGTACTGCACCACAGCTTCCAAGCCTGCCGTCACCAATAGGCAAAGAAAATTGCCTAGTGTCCCATCCAGGTGCTTTTCGTAACGTTAATGAATAGCTGATCTGTCTGGCTTAGAGCAAAGAAAAAAACCCACAACCAACTTCATCTAAGATTCAGTTGAAATTTGACGAAAACACTAAGAACAAACTTCAATAAGGACCACCAGGAATATATTTTCAGAAAATTTTAATCACCATATATTTGAATATGTGGGGCTTCTATGATGGAGATCTCTTTCCTAGAGTGGAGAGACAAAGGGGATATGAAAAGGACACCAGGTCTAAATTGTGAGCAGGCACTGCAACAAGATGCCCAGCAGCAAGGGCAAAAGGTACTAAGCTGATGTGCAACAAAACTTGTCGTGAGCCTCCGTAAATTGCAAGGGAGAAAGAAGAGTTAAATCTACCTCCAGTGGTTTCCAGTTCCCACTGCCCATCTGAAGATACAGGCTGAATCCATAGCTTAGAAGTGACAATTTATATATTGCTCCTAAAATCATGGGCCACACACACGACCATGACATGTGCCTGCCTTTCCTGTCCATTTTGTTCCCAGGTAGCAGTGCTTCCCTTTAGCCTATTCTTAGTCTACCTTCTGAATATTGGTTAAGGTTAAAACAAGACCTACTCTGGCTCACATCTTTGTATCAAATTTAAAGTCATTCATGGTTGATAAAAGTCAAATATCCTCACTTTAATGTCATACCCCCCAAGGGAACCAAAGCCCTAAGTTCCAATTTTCACCTTAATAGCTGTTCTCTGACACATTTAGAGATGGTTTTTGTTTTGTGGTGTTTTGAGATTTAAATAAAATCTTTAAACAGGCTGAGATAAATAATTGCTTACTGTGAACAAAGGATATGAAAAAAAAAAGTGTTCAACTTCAATAATGCAAATCAAGTTGCACAGTAAACGGGATACCAAAGCAGATCTTAAACTTTTATTCTAAGCAAAACTGACTCAGATTTCTGCTATAGTAGGAACACTGACTGCAGAGCTAATGCTAATGTAGTAATTTGATGCAGATGTCTCTGAGAAGCTTTACCTCCAAGAATTTAAGAAGGGGCACAGACTCAATAAATGATTCATATGTCTTCCTCTTCTTTGCGTTGTTCTTCAATATAATCCTTCTGAACGTCCCCCGATCCTGCAAGAAACAGCACAGAGAAATACATTTTTCCTCTTGACTAAAATGCTCCTTTTAAAACATGAACTAGTATTTGCAACAAATGCTTTGAAAAGCCAGCTGTTAAAATGACACCATATCCATCACAACAGTGATCACAACAGCTCTTGTGAGAGTACTTGTTGGAATAACAAATTGAAAAAAAGGAAGCTCTAAGACCTGGCCCTTCTCAGAGAAGCATTTAAGAATTCCATTTTTAGTCCATCTTGTACTGTTTTTCAGGGTTATGGTTTTGGGTTTTGTTTGGCTGTTTGTTAATATACCTGTCATGCTTCCACATACTATGCAGAAATTATGCCCTTCTTGCCGAAACCATTGGAAATATCATTTTCTAACACTTGTTATTAAGGCAACTGCAGGATTAAGTCTCAGATTCTTTTCTACTTGAGTCACAGATTTCAAAAGTGAGTTGGAGGTTTATAGTGGTCTCAGATAGATGAGGAACAGAGTATCACAGAGCAACAGGCTTGATCCATTCCTCCATCTTCCAGATCTGAGCGGCAGCATTTTGAAATCACTGCTTCCTAACTGCCAGCTGCCCACATGTACCATAACCACCTTCCTGACGGACAAAAATGTTTACTTTACTTTTGAAATCCAAATGTTGGGCAAGATTCCCACCAGCACCACCACCCTTCCTGCTCTGAGCTCTTCCCAAGCAGCAGCAGCGCTGGCCACGTGGCGGCACTGAGTGCCTGAGCCAAGGCAGGCTCGTCCCGCTGCCTGGCGCCCTGCGGTGGGAGACAGGCTGCCAGAGATCCGGACGAAAGGCTCTTCATTTCCCTGCAGAAAAGGCACGGCTCAGCTACTACGAAACACGGAGGAGTACGGGCACAAGAGAGCTGGAATCAAACCACGCGTCCGGGCTAAAAGGGAAGGGAACTTTCCCACTGGCTGTTTCTGTGTTTGCCTGACAATAATGCCTCAAGCTGCTGGTAGGACCAGCTCTAAATTATACATACAGTGAGAATTGCAGAGTTTCCCTTTACACAACACGAGCCTCTAAGTGTAAAAATGTAAAAAGAAATAAAAAAATCAGAGGAAAGGAGCATTAGTTTGGCAAGGAAAATGGTATCAAACAAAGAAATAATATTTTAAGTTTACATATCCCACAATTAGCAGAAACATCCACTGAGAGCCTTTCCTCAGGATCTCATTTTCAGAAAACAACTGCTACCTCAGCAGAGACATTCTGAGGTGAAGAGCTATTTTCAAGTAAGAGAATAGTTTTATGGGATGCAGGCTGCAAATACTTGTAACTCCAAGCAATGGTTGATACAGGTGACACTAGTGTGATATAAAAGTTGGAGATGAATGATGAAGGAGAGAATGGTATTACTGTTAGCCAAATGAGAACATGGGGTTATAAAGCATGAGGGATTGTTTTTTTTTTCTTTTTTAAAATACATTTTTCAGTGGTAGAAGTCCCTGCAAATGTACATTTGGAGAAGCAGAAAGGTGCAGAAATGGCAAGGTGAATTCTGAAAGCATAACAAATCCATAATTTATTTGTGTGAGAGCATCAGTAAGGGAGGAGAAGCAGCAGCATTTGAACAAAAAAGGCAGTGCTGTGAGGGAAGTGTGCATGATCAAGCAGTTTTTCCCAGACACAGTCAGTAGAAAAGGCTGAGGACATTTCTATGTGTGATTACTGCTTTGTGCCTGAGCCTTCCACGCTTTTGTTGGGCTTAATCTGCAATGCAGCAAAGCAGGAATAATCCACATTTCCTAGATGGCAGATAACCCACAAGCTTTAACAATGACTTCTGCAGACTAATAAAAATATCATGTTCACATTACGGCAGGCACAAAATAGTATAGAGAAATAGCCAAAAGTTTTAGGCAGGAAAATGTAAAAAATCCACAGGACAGATAGAGCAGTGAGAGGTTCCCCTTCAACTACACCTTGCTAATTAAGTTGATGAAGAAAAAAATAAACTTCTGGGGACCATCTAGGCCAACCCCTCTGCTAGACCAGGATCCCCTAGAGCAGATTAAATTACTGACATCCTCAAGATACTTAAGACCGTTCCAATCCCCTTAAAACAGACAAAGCGGTAGGAAGGTGAGATGAAAATAAAGAGCATCATTTAGATACTGTTTCCCCTGCCCCATAAAACGTGCATTAATGCCTCCACTGTCCTCTACAGGATGAAAACAAAACCAGGATTTTTTTTTCCCCTAACAAAAGCCACACTTATAGCAAATGAAAAATAATAAAGGGACAGATAAAACTAGCAATATATTTTTTACAGACAAGTGGTTCTAGAAAAAAAATCTTCCAAAAAGATACACACAGAGGATCTCTTATGCCAGGAGGTGGCATGATAAAATAGCTATTAGCACAAGGAGTCATACCAAGAGAAGCACCAGACATGGTGAGTTAGTGTTTAAAATATTATACAGCTGAGAGCAACTTCCTTTCCTTACCAGTCCCCAAAGAGCTCCTTCTGTTGTGGCAACAATGGTGGCAGCTCGAGGCGTATTGTACATCAATGCCAGTTCCCCAAAACTGCCGCGATCATCATAGTGGCCCACACAGCATGACACGTTGTCTTTTGCTACAACGATATCATACCGTCCCCTGGAAAACAATGGGATAGACATTTTTAGACAACATTCCAGTCCAGATTATACAACCACCTTTTTGCTGTAATACAAATAGTCCTCTTATTGTTGGGTGAGATGGAACACGCTTAATTGAGCTTTCCAGTTGTTTGATAGTAAACTGCTTCTATTTACACTATTTCCACAGTAATTCCCTCTTAATAAAGCATTCACTCCTGATCGATCTGAGCAGGATCTGCTTGGTTTCCTCTGCATACTATTTTGACATTGTTCTTGTAAAACGTTCTGGCCAGAGTGATGGGTAGTTTCATAGTCTTTAACAGTTTGTCTTCACAGTATGCGTGTTATCCCATGAGGCCTCTTTACAGTGACTTGGATCTACAGCCTCTCTTCCGTTTCCTCATTGCTGCAGCACCTTTGGGATAAACTCAATCCAAGTGCTCACCTGCTCTTATGGTTTTGCCTCAACTCCTGCTTAAGGGTATTTCTGTATCATAATCCCAGTCTGCAATCAGAGTTTGTTTCTGCATATGCCCATGCTATAGATTCAAATTATCCAGCTCTTGCATGGACAGCACAGCTGCTGTAGAAGCACAAAAGTCACAGAAAGGACCTTTCTTTACATACCCAAGATACTGACTTTTGCAGTGCTAACTGACCAGTGTTAATATGAGCAATACATAATGATCCTCAAGCTGGAAAATTCAAAGCTAGTTCATGAATTTTATACATGGCACATCCTTATGCTGCCACACAGCGATCTCCAGGGACAACCATTTCTCACCTGGTATTTGTCTCACAGATCACTTATGACCAAGACGTTTATCCCTAAGTCCAACTTCACACCATGCATAAGCTTAGCAAGCATAACTCACTCCAGCAGTTTTGCAGAACATTATGGGTTCCACTCTAGTCACACTGGTTTCAAATTAAAGTGGCCAAGACAAAAGGTTTTTAATGCCTTTTTGTTGTTGTTACAGCTCCCTACAACTCTTGACATCTAGCCAGGACCTGAACAGATCAAGAAAAAAGTGCTGAAGTACTCAAAGCTTGCTTGTACTTTGTTCATAGGGAGCTGTAACCTGTTTCAATTGGAAAGGCCTCCTCACCCTGTCCTGCAAGGGACACGCTTCCTACATTGTAATGAAGGGAACAGTAATCCAGAGTTTACTGAGAATCAGAAGGATGCTGTGATGAAGATGCAGGTACAAGTCCAGTGACTCAAAGCTCAACAAACAAATCTGGATCAAACTGTACCACAGCAACTGCAGATGAATAAACAGGCTGTGTACAGAAAGTAGCCCTGTAAAAGTCAAACAAGTGTCTGTAACACCTTCAGAACTCCCTTATGCTTGGGACTTTAAAAAAATAAAATTAAAAATACAGTTTGACTAGGCCTGATTAATTCCTAGGTATGGCACCAGGGTTCATTCAGTAATTAGCCGCTGGCATAAGAGATTATACAAAATATACCATGCTTGGAGAAAAGCAGCTAGGGAACACCCTCCTGGCTTTCAGCAGCTGAACACACATATAGTTTTCCCCCGGAATTCAGGTCTTTGTCAGAATGAATGGTATTATCTCCAAAAACACCACACACACAAATAATCAACAGAAACGACAGTAGGTGAAACTCCTCATGGTAAGGAAGCATGGGAACATTAATTGGTGAGACCTGCCCAGTATTAAGAGCAGGTGGTCTTTCAGGATTACTGATGGACAGTCCTGGGTTTGTTAGTTATCTCTGAACAGTTCTGCATCTAAAAAATTTGTAGGAGCTTCCACAAAGTAAACATTACATGCATCAAACAAACAATTAAAACATAAAGTGAGGAAGCTTTGCACAATAACTTAATCATCTACTGTATTAAAGCCTTTCAGACTCACAGAAAAAAATCTGGCTGCTGGATGGGTAGTTGGGTCAGATTCAGGTATGTCAGAAGATTCAAGAAATGTAGTCTCTCTTTGTCATCCAGAACGATAAAGGAGAAAACTAGGCACATGAAGACTGCATAACATCCTTACCAGACACTTTTTACACTCTACTGCTTACTCACACCTAGGAAACAGAGCACGAAACCAAGGACATGCTAACATACTAAACTAAATCAGGATTAGTGTTGATGGAATGTTTCATTAATTCTTTTAACATCTAGTATCTATTTAATGATTCTCTGAGAGACACCAGAAGCAATAATCTTTAGAGGTTTTTTTGATCTTAAAAGAGCCATCTGTGAGCAACTTAAGAGAAGTGCAACTTCTTCCCATCCCTCAGCCTGAGGGTCACCAAGTAGTGCCATTTATTTCCAAATAATTATAGCCACATAACCTTCAGCCAAGCATTCAGCTGTCTGTGGCCCAAGGACTAAATTGGGGAGGCAGCACTGGGTGACTTTGGCTCAGCTTTGCTGAGAAAACTGTTGCTGAACTGTGAGACAGTCTGTGAGCTAAAGCCATGCAAGATAATAATAAAAACACAGACCAAAGTGTAATTGTGGAGATGGCAATAGTTAAGAGCTCCAGGACACAAAAGAAAAATACTGACAAAACCTCAAAGCAAAAAACAGCAGAAGAGGACAACTCAGCAAGATTGATCAGCCTGTTCCAAGAGGCAGAGGTCAGTGCTGCCCCTCCTGATTGATGACTGCTCAATCAACAGAGACTCATCAGGTGCCTCCTCAGCAGTGATACATACTGATGTTTAGCCCAGCTCTAAAGAGCTGCTGCATCCTCAAGTCACATATATCCTGCCTGCTGTCCCTCTGTGCACAGTGAAAGACACTCAGAAGTTATCTGGTGAGGAAGTACTACAACAAGAAGACTTCGGGGAAAAAAATGCTTGTGTCAGAAAGTCTGTTTTCCTATGCAGACAAGATGCTGAAGAGTTATATTCACAACAAAAAGTCAGTGTTCATTCAGATAGGAAGAAATTAATCCTCAAGGATATTTAGGCATTAATGATTTAGAGTAACAAGACATGGCTACTGGTGCCTTGAAGGAATCAAAGTCCTCTGAACTTTTACTTGCAGGCAAGTGGAAATACTACAGCCAGAATTTCTTTCAAAAGGGTCAAAGATGCTCAAAATGTGCATGCACACACATATCTATTATATGCCTGTTGTACACATATTTATGATGTACAAAATTATCATGTGAATTTACTTGATGCAAGAAATCACAAAATGGCACGTTAAACTCTGCAAAGACTAATTACATGACTAAAACCAAAGTAACCACAAATATTTCTAACATTAGTGATCAAAAGGAACTGGACAAAGTCCAACTTGATCTATGGTAGCCATTACCATGAAGTTTTATTTCCTGTATTCCCCTTCCTCAAAATAATCTCCTATCTCTTCCTCTACCCTGTGGTTCCTTTTGCTGCTTTTCCCCTTTGCTTCTTCAGAAAAAGCACATCTTGGGCTAGAGACAGTATGTAATACAGCTGATTATAAGTTATGCAAATGCTGCTGGGCACAGAAGCTAAACTGAACAAAGTTTCATAGACAAGCTCATGCTGTGGCCCCTTCCTCAGATAAAGTGGTATTTGAGTTTTTATGCAGTCACATAGAATGTATTAAACCAGCAGGTTTGAAATGTCCACCTCTCAAATTCAATTGCCCCTGGGCAAATGATCCAAAAGTCAATGGGACCCTAAAGGTGAAAATGGAAAAATCAAAGTAAGAGACAATGACTGCAAAAAGTAAGTTTCCTTCAGAAACTGCCCTGCAGTAAAAGCATTCCCTGCCATTTCTAAGAAAACAAATAGAAACATATTCTACACTTCAAAGGCACAGCTGCTTACTGCTCAATGACATAAAAGTTGTCTCCATCATCCCCTTGGTCAATCACATGTTCTTGAGGCTTCACCTTCTTCTCAAACATGGCATCAAGGACCTGAAACAGCTGCTCCTATAAAACAAGCAGAAGGGGAGGGGGGAAAGCAGTATTTAAGAAAAAAAAAAAAATCAAAAAACCTCTCAGAAAAAACACTTCAGCTTTATTGCTGGACAAGGGCAAGTTCATCTGACTTGATCTGGATAGTGAAGTGCAACATGCATTGCATTATTTTACTGTATGCGAATACAAGTGACACTGATACTAAATGTTGATTTCCACTAGTAACTACCTCACTTGCTTCCAGGTTATTCATATAAGTTCAATAATGCAGACAAACATAGACACCTCCATTATAGAAGAGCTAGTAACTTACACATACCATTTCAGCACCAAAGCACACATACTGCAAGCTTGGTATCATCTCACACAGCTTCACTGCAATGGGTACATCTTGATTATGTCAATAGAACATGTGTTTCATTATATGATTTGTTAGTAACTTATTTGTACTGTCATCCAGGAGCCCCAGTCATGACCAGGACTGGACTGAACAAGACTATCCAAACACACTTCCCTAGATAGTCCATGTCCTAAGAGAACCCGCAATTCCAACACAAGATCAGACAAGTACAGAAGGTGAGCACATACAGAAAACAGGATAATGCTGCTCCGAACAGCAAGCTCATCTTAGGTTTCTCTGACAAGCCATGACTGAACAGTCAGCCAGGGCAGCTGTGAAAGCCAAGAGACATGATGCCATAGACATGCTTTGCCTCCATGCTGAGCTCCTTTACCACCTTTGTGATTCCCAAGTCCATTAACAATAGACTTCCATTGCATTTTCAATGATCAGATGTTCCAAGTTGAAGATGTAGATGGCAGCTGAGTTTCTAAAAATATACTGCTTGAACACACAAACCAGTCTTTATGCTTCTAGATATATATATCTATAACTGAAGTATTTACTGCACTCCTTAAGTTGGGAGAAATCATTGCAGCATCTGTAGGCACCACTATATTGAAAATACTGCTTATCTTTTCACTTGATTCCTGTTTCTTGTCTTTTAAAACTCTTCTGATACTTAAACCATCACTGTATGAAAGCCATTTATTTTCACCACACATTTCACATCATGCATTTCAGTAACAGCTGTCAGAAAACAAGCAACACAGATTTAAAAAAGCTTTTTTAAAATACCGTAACTGAATAATGATTCATTTGGGGGATAAACAGGTAAAGACTTCTTTTAAGTAAATAAAACACCAAGTTTTTTCTGTCAGTAAAAGGACAAGCTTAGTCATATTTCTGAAGTGTAAAAAACCCTCTTGGTTTAAATATGGGTACTGTGCTTGCTCGGGGTCCTTGCTTTATGGATAACAGCCATTGATCTCACCCAGTACAAAATTCAATTGTAATTAGGATTCTACACATTCATTTGTAAGATGCTGTGGAGCCTACGCAATACATCTTCCAGAGCTTTTAAATGGAGAAAACTTATCTACACCCCCAGCGCTTTATATTGAAACATAAATCAGGTTTACCACTGGAGACACTCAATGTCATGGTTAAACTCTGTGACAATATGAATTTATTTTAGTCCAAAGTTCAATGTGAACCTTGCTAGAAGTGATCCACCAGACACTGACTGTCTATTGTTTCATAGCAAGCATTACAGCAATTTTCATGCAAGTGAAGATATTTAAAAGGGTTGTTGAATCACTGGGCCTAAATTCAGCACAGCTCACCTAAATGCAACCAGTGGAAAAAGGATGACTGTAGCCAGGACATTTGAGTCACATAATCTTACTCCTAAAAGGCTTTTATGCAGTTTTGTTGTTGTTTGGTTTGTTTGCTTGTATTTAACAGTTTTACGTTACACTCTTTAGAGGATAAGAAGCAAAATATTTTGAGCCTTAATTTGCAAGTGCTCCTCACAATCATTAAAGGACAACATACACTGCAAAAGCAGCAGCCATGCACTCTTCCTTTCAATGGATATCACAAACCAACCTTCCAATCCATGTCACATTATACACAGAGCGTAAAACACATTATGGGGAGGAGGGGTAAAAGGATGCAAGTTCCACACTCCCTTTATACCCATTACTGGAAAAGCTCTCCGCTCTCTGCTAGGTGACCTTTATCATAGTATACTCAACGTATGGACTGCAGCTTTCTCTTTCAGCCATGTCATATGTGAATATAAACTGGTTAAGTTCTACTTCTGGGTGATTTTGCTGGAAGCTAAAAGATTGGCCTACTCAGTGCCAATGGTGAACACATTTTGTACATGCCACCTGAGCTGCTGAATGTTCTTAAATATCTTTTTTTTACTGTACATAATGAGATTATTTGCAAAAGGAACGTTTAAAATGTCTTAAGTAAATAAGCTTGATGATAACAGTCCAACAACAGTGAAAGGTCAGTCTTGAAAAGGACAGTTTTAAGGAAGCTTTCCTCAAGTCTGCTGCACTGAAAAGCTTCCAACAATTATTTTAAGAAGGCACAGCAATCTGAAATCATGCAAGTGTGGATTGTGTTCAATATCACAATTGTGTAAGTAATTTTCTTTTTAAGTTGCTTAATAAAATTAACCGTTTCCTAGGGAAAAGGAAGCCACATACAATGGTACCCAACAGCAAACACTGAAAGATCAGCAAAAGAATAAAACCAAACCAAACAAACCACTAAAACTCCCAACTTTTAACATACATACACACACAAAATTGAATTTGCAGGGAGGAGGATCTGACAATTATGGAAACTGACAATTTGACATGTTTATTTATATTGTTCATTGATTGCTGATATCCAAATACACATTCCAATCCAGCCTGCATATTACTAATAATTCAAGAACTATCACAACACAAACAAGTATCTGACCAAGCTATTACCTGTACCTACAAACCACCAACTCCATTTACCATTTCCTTAAAATTATATTACCTGATCTAGGTTTTTGAAGAGCAGGATATCTTTACATGCTTCCTGCAGTCTGCATCTCTGCTCATCAGTTTTTGGATGAACTACCTTTAAGAAAAAGTAAAATGAAACTGTCATGACAACAAAGTAATATTATTACAGCCTGAACATGCACTTCAGAGTGGAAAAAGCAGAACACAATTTAAGAGTCCTAAAGTATACAGTTCCTTTTTGGTTTTGGCATAAACAATATTTATATGTAAACATACAATGCAAGACAGAATGAAAGAAACCAGCATATATACATGGGGCTGAAATTAAAACATGCAAAAATAACAGTCAAGAAATAAGATTCCTTTGCTGTTCCTTTTCTTTCTAGCCCAGCCACTGATAGAGTCAAGGCTTGAGCATTTGGAACAGAGGAACAAGACAACAGTTTCCAAACTCTGGCTGTATTAGTCCCAATATACTTATTGTTGGCATACAGGTAGTTAATAAGATTTCTGATACATACTGATACGTCAGCCCATCTACTAACAGAAGTTATCCAAGCAGTGTATTTTTTTTCTCCCCCTGTCACAGTTTGACTTAGGTCCGACAACAATGCTCTCGATCCCCCCTCCCCCCAACCCAGGTAGGGAAGGAGAGAGAGAAAAAGAGAGAGACTTGGCTGGATTGAAAACTAAACTACACAGCTTTAATTAAAACACTAATGAATGATACAAGAAAATATATACAATTATATACAGATATATTCAGGTGTGGGCAAAAGCCTCTCGCCTCCCCCCACCCCAGCAACTCCCACAGCACTTCCCTGAACTGGGAAGAGTCCCGAGGAATCCCGGAGCTGCTGCTGGGAAAGAGCAGAGAGTTATGGGGGTCAGGAGAGATCAAGCCTGAGGATCGACGGTGATGGATGAACAGAGTCCTCCCTGGACGCCGGCCATGGACGGAAGAGAAGGGAAAAAGAAGAAGAAGGAAGGAAGTTGTCTTCTGTGATCTCTGACCTTCCTCTGAGCTTACGTAGATATATGGAATGGAATATCTTTGGCCAATTTTGCTGTCTGTCTAACTCAGCCTCCTACGGGGGGGTCACAGATCTCCCCATAGTGTCTGAGCCGGCAGAGTGCAGGTGCAGCCTTGAAGCCTCAGTAGTTAGAAAAACATCCCACTGTCTTATCAGTCTAGCAGAACACACTGTTGCTAGTTACAGGAAAGCTTACTGAAGGAAAAAAAAAATCACTAGAAAGAAAAATTGGCTTCATCCTGGCTCAAACCAGGACATTCCCCAACAAAATTACTTAAGTAAAAAGCCTTTCTGTTATCAATTTTTTTCATTACTTCTTTCTAATTATAAACATTCCATCAGATAAAGGAACCACCACTCATCATCAAAATGTTCATGCATGTGCTTGTTGGGGGCTAATTATGAAAACATAAAGATATTAATTACCTCACATTCACCACATTAACTCTGTTTCTGGAATAGCAAGAATTCAAAACAGACAGCTACCGTAGTAGGTATTTCTAACAAAATCATTGTCCAAAGTTGAGCATGTCTTAGATCCTTGTTTAAAAGAAAAATTGAATCAGCAGTCAGGAAAATTAAGAGTTTTGTTAGAATTAAAGTATACAAGTTTACAAACATTTGGATGATCAGATGCACTCAGTCTTTTTTAAAAATTATTTTTATAGTACCTTATTTATAAAGTATCTTTGTTTTAAAGATATATTAGATTTGACTTAGATTTTCATTGCAGGAGTGTAAGCATTCTCCAGATGGAATCTGGAAATGGAACACCAGAAGTCCAGACAGAAAATATTGACCCTCACCAGCCAGGCTGCAGGATTTACTCATAGAAAGCATCTCCTAAGGAATGCAATTGCAGTATCTGGACTTGCAATTCCTGGGAATTCCCACCTTACAAAAACAATACAACAAAAGGTGGCCAAAGTCTCAAAATATTTCAAGAAAGTATTTCTCCTACCCAGGCAGAACTGCTTTGACAAGAAAGGCAGTAAAAAAGCATGTGAGGAATTTTAAGCACCCATGAAGAAACAGCTGTGGTAAAGCTTAACTAATTCCTCACCACAGCTTTAGGAATTGCCTCAACAAGCCCTTAAGATAATTAAGGAAAATATCCAAAATTTAAAAAATGGGGGACTTAAGCATAGCTTCTGAGTCCTTTGAAGTATAATTATATTGAAACTTTCATGACTAAAAAAATACATGAGACAAAGTGGGCCTAAATTTCAGAGCAATGACACTTTGTCAACATCAGCTCACCACACAGCCTCTCAGAACAAGTGATAAGGAAAAGGTGACATCTAGACACTTACCTGTCAGACTATAGAGAGAATCATGCACAGTGCAATTCACTCACACTTACCCTTTTTTCTGTGCCTTCTTCCTCTTCATCTGGATTGAAAGGTTCAGCAGAAACTTGGAAAGAAATGAGAGGAAATTAGAAAAAGCTGCAATTACACCAGAACATCTAACACATCAAGTTTAAATTCCTTTCTTCTACATTTCATTTATCTTCAGGAAAAACAATCACTTTTTATGTTGTTATAGTGTCAGAGGCTTAAATCCTGTCTATTCTCTGAGCAGACACAGCTCTGGCTGTTCTCATCTCTCATGTAAAACATCTGCAACTTACACTAGAAAATCATCTTGCCTAGCAAGATGCAAAGCATGCACAGAGTTCCTTTCAATTCTTACCAAACCATGATTAATGTACAAGCATCTTCACTAAAACACAGGGTAGAAATACTGCAGCTGCACTGCTTTGCTCTTTGTAGTGCAATGTATGCAGCAACACACTTTTGTAGAAATACATTTGTAGAAATAACACACTGTAGTGCACAGGAACAAGGCTCTGCCAAACATATCATTATAACTAACGGATAGGATCAATTTTAAGAGACACAGTGATAATGGTGAGCTTCTCTAGTTTCAAATCATTTTTGTTTGGTTTTAGTATTTCAGAAAAGCCTTATCTTCACAGTTATGCTGTTATACAATTTTACCATATTAAACACAGACACCTTTGGCTGCCAAAAGCTCAGACTTTATTAATCAATTTGTGGGGTTTGCTGTTCTAAAATGTCAAAGTGAACTGTACATTCTAACTAGACGTACAGGCAGAGAAAGTGAGTCAGTCTTGTTTGCATCTAGTTCTGCTCTTACTTCAATAAGGGTAGTCTTACTTCTGAGGCTATATGCTACTTGTAAAATTTTACAAGGAAATACAGACAAGCATTTTTCTTTGTACTTTATCAAGCATCCTGAACACAATGAGGACTTGGCACAATCCCCAGAAGCTCGCTGCAATGACATCTACCCACTGAACAGACTTGGAGAGTATAAATAAAAATGAGCATTTTTAACAAAAAAAAATAAATTAAATCCCAACAACTAGAAGGCCGAGCATTCAGCACTTATAAATAATTCCAAAACACATATAGGACCATTGACCTTATCATCATAATTTCAAAAGGGCTATAAAAATGCACAGGTCCAGCATAATTTGATAGGAAAGACTTCTTTTGTTTTGGTTTGTTTTCCTGTCTAAGAGGTATATTTTTTCCTAGCATATTAGATTTTAATTCCTTTTTTTTCTGGACAGATTGAAGAGACTGGAATACAACACAAGCATTCTATTTATCAAACCACAATATAAAAACTCATTCATGAAATCATTAGGCATTTAAAGAGTAGCTATTGCTCACACAATAAAGCAGGCATGGCACTGGCTCTTCTGGTTTGTACCATTTAACAAGGCAGAAGTGGTGGATTATCAGTGCACCTCCAACAGATACATGCTTTGTTTTAACAGTGTGGCCCACCACATTTAAGGCAGATACTTTATTAAAGCCACAATTAACTTTCATTCATATCCTGCCAGAAGAAGAATTCTCTTTGATGTTATGTATCAGCTGTTATATTGGGCCAAGTTTCAATGCAGTCTTCCCTCTAGTTTTGAAGACATTATTACTTGAGAAAGGAGGTATTACCAATTTTCTCCCATCTCCATGTACTCCCTAGTCACTAACCAAGGGCTGAGAGACTCCCTGGTATCCTCTGCAGTCTCTTTCAGTACAGAAAAGGAAGTGACTAACAAAATACAGTTTGGCCAGAGCCCCTATGCTTGGAAGAAGGTCAAGAGACAAAACCACGCAAGCATGAATTTTGTCATGGTCCAACTTTTGGAAGGAAGGAATCTGTATGGTTTTCAGGTCATCCAAACCATGCCTGGGCAGACCAAGTCAGTTTGCAAGCCATGTAACATGGGTGACTCATATGAGTAGAAGACTCAAACATTGCTATTTCACTTAAAGCAGCAGCAAGAAGACTGAGTAATTAGAACTGAAACTGCTCATGCCACCACAGTCTATGGCATCTTGCAGCTAGAAGACTTTAAAATCAGTGGTTTGGGTTTTTTTTTTTGTTAATTTCTACATAGGGATAGCTTATGATTTTGCAAATAGAGGATTCTTTTGATCAAGTCAGCCACTATCCTATATACAAATTAGAACTGACCAACACAACACTTGGTGTTTGTGCACACCTCATGGAACCTTGACATAATGCACAGCAAACAAGCTACACACAAGAAATCTATTCATTAAATAATTTTCCAGGGGAACATCAAGCTCTTATTTCTCTTTTTCCCTCTTAACGTTTCCGGGAAAGAGCTATTTCTCTTCATAAGAACACTACTTTGCCACTCTGCACTGCTATAAATAATTCCATGAACAAGATTACATAAGTACCTCTTTTCCAGGATGACTCTCCTGCACAGTCTGTGGAGTTTCTCACTGTTCCACCCATGGACCCCTGCTTTGCTGGCTCAGTCTCTGACCAACACACAAAGCCTTGTTCCTCTGATCAAGAAGGAAATGAGATTCCCTGCAGAGCCCTTACGGCTGTCAAACTGCATGGAAGAGTTTAATGCCAAGCAAGATAACACTAGCCCTCCCCCTCAGGGAACACATCAGCCTAGGACATGAAAGTAGCAGATGTTGCAGAATTGAGGAGCTTAAGTGGGCCGAATGAATCCGCACAGACAGGTTGAGAAAGAAGTAGCAGTATGTGAGAATGTGCTGCTGTCACTTATGGGATATGAAAGCAGTATCATCACTTTTGGTCAATGTTTCAAGAAGTGCAGAAATAACAGTTGTTGTTCTTCTGGACAAAAAGAATATAAACAAGATATGTTTAAAGGTACAAGGTCAGCTTGACCTTTTTAACAAATTACTATTTGTCAGGTAGTTTTCTTAATCCTGATTTCTTGAAGTATTTTACTGAATTACTGCATAAACTAGAAGCACACTAATTTGTTCAACATTTATGAAAAGTGCAGAAATAAACGTCCTGACCAATTCTTGCCATGTGTCAGATAACTTCTCTTTTGAGTAAGTCTTAAAGAATTACAGTTATATATTTACAAACATTAAAGCAGTATCTGTCAGGGGAGTCAAGAGTCTAAGCCTCAGGCTTAGATGTTTCATAACTAAAAAGAAACACGTAAGTGAAAACCCAGTAATCATTACAACATTTTTTTTCAATGAGTTTATGTATCCTTAGAATTTGTGTTAGTTCACCAAGGGAATCAGGATCTGTAGGCAGCTAATCACAACTGACGAGGAACTAACACTTCACAACTAACATTTATGACATTAATAAAGCAGTTTAAAAGATTCTATAACTGCTATGTGTAAGAGAGTGTCATAAACAACTGTTAGTCTGCAAGAACAGATATCCAGCTAAATAATTTACCAGAACAATTATTAGTCTGTTCTAAACTATATTTATAATGTAGACAATCACTTTATTTTCTTTTTGTTTAATTAGAATTGTATTTTTTTTCTAACTTTCATTCTTGACCTAGTGAACAATGAGAGCAATACCATAATTTCCTATATAGCCAAATGCTTAATAAAAATTTCCTTCAGTATGTCCAATGTTAGTTTCTAAATTCTTCTATTTTGCTCTTCCAGAGTTGTGTAAATCTACAATTTTGTACATATAACTCTTGATTCCAGCAAATAATTGAGCTCTGCTCTTTCCTCCCCTTACAAACACACACTGCACTGGAAACATGACAATAGCCAGTAGGACTGACAAGGTTCACCACAGACTAGCAGAATGTTCTGCTGAATAGAGAACTAGAAAACAATACACTAAATGCAATTAGTTTTTCTTCTCCATAGTTTCTTCTGCTTTACTTAATTAGTTAAAACCAGATACACTTAGATACTATACTGAGCAACCCATAATGCAATGTTGGTTTCTTATTTGTTGGTTCATAAAGAAGAAATCCTATGAAAATTGCAGAATGAAAGGTTTCTTAACACATCAAACAAGGAAATAAAATAAAATAAAATTTAGAGCACCAAACATATCAGTCCTTCAGCTTATGCAAGGGATTATAAAATGTGGCTATGATAGCAGGGGGCTGAGTTCAATAACACAGGAGCATCCAAACAGTTCCCCTTAATCCAATTGCATAAGTTAGCAGTTCAACTTTACATTTGCTGTTCAGTTGTTCACATTAACCTTTAGACCCCCTTCAATGAAGAAACATGTTTTTGCACCTAAGAGTAGCTCAGTAGAATGAGAGACCAATACTGTATTTCAGAATTGAAGATTCAAAAATATTACAACTACCCTCTGATTAAGGTTCAACTTTTTAACTTTGGGAGTAATTCAGCCTTTATTTAAACCTAAACCTGGAGATGTATTTAATTCTCATTGGTAAGATTTTACTCTGTCAGAGGTGTTCCAGCGGAAAGAAGCTGCCACTTTTCAATTCACTGCAAAGCAACCCTTTCCATAATTATTATGTTGCATTTATTCTGGACAGAATCCTTATTATTGCTAAAGGTACTTTAATAGTCTGTGATCACCCCCAGAACTGGTTTCTGAATTACTCTCAAAGTGTTGCCTACTGGTTTCTACAGTGAATTAAGAAACAATTCTCACTATTTCAAATAAAAATACTGAAAGAAGTATGAGAAATAAGGCAGTGATGATGAAGATGAAGAGAAGCTAACTTTCCATCTAATTCCATTAGTCAAATATAGGTATCAAGACTTTCTCAGAAACATTAATTTAAGAGAAAATTATACCTGATACTCTTCTGTTGTATCGATTAACAACGGGAGCTGCAAAATAAAGAATTCAAAATTACAAATGCTATTTATTATTACAAATTCAAAGTCATAATCTTTAACATCCAGGATACATTTTCACCACAAAAATCCCATACAAATCTCTTTTTTTAAAAAAAATGCTTCAATATAAAGCTTTCATCCTCTTACTTGCCAGCCAGTGTTTATTCAAAGTTAAAACTTGAGTTTTTAGAAGGCCATTACATGCTAAGATGGAGAGTAAGCAGTTTGGGTTTGTTTTTTTTTTACCCAGTTCTGAAAAAATACAGCTCTACAGAGGTTACCTGATCTTAACTTAGCATCAATTCCCCATCCATTCAGAATTATTATAAAACATTCAACCACCTTTAAGTTAGCTGTACCTACTTAACGTGGATCGTCAAAACACATCAAAAGCTGATGGAACTTACTAGTTAAGCCATTCTAGACTTCCACACAACACAAGCCATGTAACTGCTCAGGAAGCGCTTCCAGGCAGCTGTCCTTGACCTAGGCTATCTTCCATAAGGACATGTGTTAAAGTTGAAAAATTCTGAGCTGGAGGATCCATTGTTTCATTGTTTCCTTGTACCTGCTGTTAGGTACAAAAGGTATTTGAACTTTATCTCCAACTCGGGGTGAACTTCCTGACTGTCACTATTCACACACATTTTGACATTAAGCTAGCCTTCAGTAAACAGCATTTTTTCTCCTTTTCACTGTAGCCAAGTTACTAGTTTTTGTGAGTTGCTGCAGTCTCAACGCAAAAAAAGCAAATCAGCCTGTAAAACTTCACCCAGAACAAGCCCAAAACCCCACGCACCTCTTCACCACTAACAACTAAAGTGATTTTATTCTGAATGCTTCATGCTTTCCCGTTCCTCTTCCCCTTAACTTCCCAGTACAACCAATGATTTTTCTATTCCATTCTTTAAATATCAAAGAATTACATAAGCCTTTATACCACATCAAAGCATGTGCATCACAGATTTATTAAACACACACTACCAAAATCTTGATGATCTTATAATTTCTTAGAAACTTTTTGGTATTTCAGCATCACCAGAATATGAAGAACAATGCTTTCTTAAGCAAGTACACAAGAACTCTGCTTCTTTTGAACATTTATAACAACCCTGTGTCTACACTAAAACAAGTAACTGAGAATAGTATCAGGAAAATAAGATCAAAATTATTATTGTATCTTTTGCAATTAAAAAAGAAACCAGAAGGAGGAAGATGTTCAGAGGAAGAATGATCAGGCTAATTCCATAGAGACTATGCCCAACTTAACAAGAAGCTAAGTATTAAAACCAAGATTTTTATAACACAGCATAATCCTTATAAAAATAACACTGATGCAGTGTTTCACACCTCAAGCTTGAAGAGGTTCAAAACCACTGAATTATAACCACGAGAATTAAACAAACTTTGTTGTCAAGCCTTTAAGCAGTTTTTGACAGCAGCAACTCTTCCTGCAAATAAGGGCAGCATATATTGCACTTGTATAGGACACCATGGATGCAAGAAGTTATGTCACCTTAAGGGGAGACAGGCATTTGGAACAGAGATCTGTCCTGGTTTGTCAAAGGAACTCGCTCACCTCCCTGAACTGAAAATATTCACATTTCATGAAAAAAATAGCATAGCTAAAAAGAAGCTGTATCTGGTACAATAGCTAATACTGCAATACAATCATTTTCTTTAGCTTCATTTTAGAACCAGCAAGAAGAATCCTATTTTTGAAGTTTCATAGTTTTTCTTACAATAAACCTTATCAACATGGAAACACAAGCTTTTAAGAATTCAGCAGTCATTTACAAAGGCTAGTTATCCACTTCCTTTCTAGCTAGTTAGGCTCTTTTCAGAGGCTGTTACACAGAGCAAAAGTTTCCATTTGCCCAAAGTACCAGCAGGATATTAGAAGAAACTGACTCTAGAATTTAATTTTTCTATACAGTTATAGCTAGTATCAAAAACTCTTCCAGGAAATACTAAGTTTAACAGTCAAATGAAAAGACACCAACATGCAAGAGACAAAAAAAGTATTTTTTGTGTTAAACACGTTCCAGATACTATGCTGCCAACATATATTAAAATTAGAAAAATCTATGCAGAAATATACTCCCTTTAAAACATTATCACCTTGTATCCATCACTAATACTTTGCCTTATAATTGGTTTAATGTAATTGATGGAGACCAAAGAATAAATAAAATTAAAGATTCTTCTAGACCTTCATGTTGCTAGGCTTGCTTACACATACACTCTTAATAAATACATTAATAAAAGCATGTCCATTTCCTTCTTTGTGTACTAAACTCACAGGCTTAATACAGTCAGATCATCATCTAGATATTCTTCCTCAATCTCCAAAAAAATCTAGAGACAACTTCAGAAGAGCACAGAACATCTTGTGTTAAACCACCAGCCAAACAATTTTCAAAGGGAAAAAATATAAATAAATATGTAGCACTAGCAATTATCAGATTATAAAAATGCCCAATGTGCTACCTAGATTTTAAATAGAGCAGCTATTCTTTTGACTGAATTTGCACCATACAATGCAATACTACTATAAGAAAGATGTTCTGCAAAGAGAAGCTCTTTTAATGTTAAGACCAAAAAAATGAAAAGAGTGAGGAGAGAGCTACTGCGCTGCTTTCCCAGTAGTTTAAAACTTATGGAGGAAATAGGTGAAAGTACTACTAAAAAGTACTTGCATTGTAAAGGTGATCATATCTCACAGGAACACTTGCAGTAATCCAAAAATCTGAATTACATCTGAAAACGTGAACAGCATTTTGCAGGACCACTATTCTTATTCTAGCCTTCAAAAGTCTTAACATCATCTAACTTCTATCATTCAAGAAATTTCCTTGAATTATTTCCAGAAAACAACAAGGAGCTATGCCTGATCTGTAAAGTGATACAGACAGACAGAGCATAAATGCTTTGTGATTGATGTAGCACTGTAATTCCTGACTAATCCCATAGGACATACCAGCCAAGTACAGAATAAGAATGCGTAAGCAAATGATGCTTAAGAATGAACAGTAAGTAACTGGAAACAGCTTTAATATAATATTAAACACTTCTGTTAAGAATCAAAAAGATAAAGATTTTAAAGATGGACTGAACTCTTATTCAGTAAACTGTCTGAGATCCAATGATGTAAAAGTGCATTTCTCCACTTCCTTCTGCTCAGATGTCCTATTGATGTTTGAAAGATGACATTTAGCAAATCCTTGAATTCTAATGGAGAAGTGCAATGCAGAACTAAACAAGATCTTTCCACCTGTTCATCCAGATTCATATGCATCATTTTCCTTCATAGCAATACAGCAGACTGAGGAGGACTCTTACAAAAGCAATCTGTTAAGAAGTGTTCTCTTTTACCCAGGGAGCAGCTCAAAAGTACACAATCCCAGAATCACAGACACCATCTTTCCCAGAATCACAATCACACAATCTTTCCCTGAGGGAAAGGTAAAAACCTGGAAGGAAAAAATAGGTTTGCACTGAACTATCTGTTGTTAGTTAAAACATCCAAGTTGCTCAGACTGGTATATAATCCCTAAAATACTTTAGTTCCAGTATTAGTTATATTTTATTTCTCCAAAAATAAACACAGGTGGTTTTTTTTTTAAATAACTGATTACCATTACAAAAGAGACATCAAATGGAAAGGTAACAGGAGCAGCACCTTGCACCTTTGTGCCACTGCCTCAGCTGACAGGGAAGGAAGATGCCTGCCTTCCTTCAGATGTGCTGCTCAAAACAGGCTTCCCAAAGCCCTGACTCATCCTCAAACAGTGGACAAACTATTTCTATGGCTTTAATTTCACAGTCTTAACATATCCATTCAGAGCTTCCTTCTTAAAACTAAAAGTGTCATAGTCAAGGACACAGTGTGAGACTACATACCCATCCTTGGTTACATCCTCAGCCTGATGTCTGAAGCTGTCATTTAACATTTTTTTCATAACTCTATCTATTTGTCAACTTAGCAAGTATATTGACCAAATAAAGGCTCTCAGGAATGCTTCATATGGATAACATCTATGCCCTAGCCCCCTGGATAAATGTTTCTGGAGGTTTTCCCCTTTCACTAGCATAATTTTCTTTCCACACACTCCTTACACTCCACTGTCTGCTGAACAGCCACATTCTGACATCCTTTCATCACATATACACACACATTAAAATCAGGGATGAAATACCAGAGGGTGCAGAGAATAAACATAAACCTGGAAGTAATTTCTTAAGAATCACAAGAAAATACTTTTATTTTTGTATTCTAGCTATTTTCAGTGACTTTTACCACATTGATGGAGTGCCATTATGGCAGAAAAGGAACCACTTGCGTCACTATGACTATACAAAGACATTTGCTACATCTTACAACAAAAGCCAAGAGCTCATCCTGACTTTAAGTTATTTCTCCCTTCTATCACAATATGCACTCAAAGCATAAAAAAAACAGATACCTTATCCAAAGTGTTCTCTAACTCATTGTGTGCAAGTGCAGCCCAGAGAGGCACAGGCACAGGCATTTAAAGTCAAAACAATCACAGTATTTGTGCAGACATCTTTTGTCTGCCCAAATAATAATACATAACCACGTGAATTATTTAAACCAGCTTCAAATTTTCTTCACATAATACTTTATACAGCTTCCATTGTTCATTTTCATCTTTATATTTTAAAATAGCCATGGAAACATTTTTTAAACTTGACCTGTCTTTGCAACTCCAAGGTAAAGAAGTGTTAGCCCATGAAAACAAAGTGAAATTAATTGAAGTCTTTTTTAAGTTGTCCAAGATGAAAAAATGCAATCTTAGCAAACAGTAGTAGGGCATGACCAGTGAGATTACCTGAAACTATTAAAGATAGAAAAAACCCACAAAAATGAAAGAGTCCTTTAAGCAGTCTGTAAGCAGACAGGATCTGGTCTTCCACAACAAGGTACAAGTACTTTCCTATCTATACAATTCATAGAAGACAGAGATAACAGAATCTCTGACTTAACATGTGCTTTGTAATAAAGCCTTCTATGACAACAGTTACAACAGAAATCTTAAAAAACACATAACTACGGTTGACTGTCCCCACAATGTTAAACAACGTAAGAGTAACTTTCCCTGCCCAGATAGAGACCCTCCCCTCACCTGCTGGAGAACTCAGCGCCTCCCTCCTGCTGATCTGGGAAACTGTAAGGCAGGAATAGCAGGGTTTTGAGATGAGAAGCAACATCACTCACAGTGCCACTTGCCTCAAGGGTTCTGACTAGCACAAGCGACACTAACCAGCCTCCTTAATTTAATTTTCTAAGACAGAAATTTAATGAGCAGAAACTTGAAGCAAAGGAGCCACCTTTCTGCTTTGGGCAGTCTTACCACATAAAGCTGTATTTGAAAAGTTGTTTGCCACCATCAAGTTTTTAGATTTATATCTGAAAATATTTAACTTCAGAGAATGCTTTCAGCTGCCCTTGCCAACATTCATCAGGAAAAGTTTACATTTACTTCCCTGGAGAAGAACTTTCAAAACCCAAAGCAAGAAACTGATCAAAAAATACAAGAGTTGTTTTCAATGACATTAAAAGCACTGGTGGAGCAGAAGGTTTTCTATTTATGCTTTTGTTAGATTGGTTGTTGGGGTTTTTGTT